TGTAGAGGAAGAGCAGAACATACTTACATTATTTCCAAAACTTAACACCAACCATTCTCATCCAATCCCAACCTCCCGACAGTGTGCCTTCAGCTGCTGTCATATTTCACACTGGATTAAATTAAAAGCAGGAACAAATTCCCCAAAATAGGGGAAGAAAAAAAAAGGGCTTTAGTGCAACGATGGCAATACGGGAATAATGAGGGGGATAGAGAGGTTACAAACCCCCACTAATTAACCGGGGTCTTCATGAGTTCAAGGACAGTTTCAATTTAGCTGATAAAGATGAGAAGGAATAGGAAAGGGGAGGGAAGGGGTGAGGCGGGTGAGACTTCCTACATCTTAATTATCCCGGTGGTTTTTGGCAGCAGTGCCTTGGGGAGTGTGTTGGGGGGAGAGAGAGGAGTTGGAGGGTTTCCATGCCGATCCCTGTCTTTTGATCCGAGGCAGAGTTCAGCCGGGCGACGCCCAAAGCTTCCCGGGTCGACCCTTTCCCTCTCAATTACTGCGTCGCTCGCAGCCCAGGAGGATCATGGGAAACACCGGGGTAAAACACACATGCACTTCTTCATTTATACATGCATACAAATTGGCTGCACTAAGACAAAAGTAATCAATGCAGCATGTTGTTGAAGGTTGAGATTTATTGTGTTCTCGATTCAAGAGAATACCAGTTTTGGAACCGATGAATACCCAACGCACCTTATCCTTTGTGCTGTTCCCTCTCCTGTATTGTGTTATTTAGATTTCTGTGCATGTAAATGGTCTTCAGAGGCAACAATCCCTGTATTCCCTCCAGAGGTAATTTCTCTCTTACAGATAACCCCCCCCCCCCCCCCCCCCCCCTGCCTGAAACGCCTCCATTAGACTCCTTTGTTTACTTCCAGTACATACTGACATCAATATGTAACAGTTGCACCTCTATTGGCTAGCGCTCATTGTACGTGATAGGCTAAGGGGCGGGAGCAGAGGTTGCGCTAGACTTTTTCGCTGCCTGACTGGATCGTAAAATTTCCGTCAAAATCCATTATAACCCGTCGGCCTTACGCAACTCTGCCGGGGGGGGGGGGCAGCAGACGCGCTAAGAACTGTTAGCGCCGTGTTATGCATGAGCGCGTACAGCAAGTAGCCAACTCGCAGACATTTCAATGATCTGTTTGGCAAAGTTAGGTTTGGAAACGATATCCTTTCCTTTTGGGAGAGCATGCATTATAACACTTTGGCGCTGTTCTGAGTTTGTTCTAATCCGTCAAAATGACGGACGGCTTTCAGATTTTTCCGTCATTGTTAAAAAAAATACGTCATAGACGGAAAATATTCGGTTAACGCGACCTCTGGGCGGGACATCTCTAAGCGGTTGACCAATCACAACAGAGCCTGCCAGCTAACCAATCAGAGCAGACTGGGCTCTGGTTTCAGACTGAGGGTGAAAAGAAGTGCTTCAGCACAGGCAGTATGAGGACAATAAAGAGCTTTTTGAACATTAGAGCATGGAGACATGTAGATACACTACATACTGATATACACCTGAACATCAGCAGGAGAGGACTCTTTAAAGTAGAGACACTACATACTGATATACACCTGAACATCAGCAGGAGAGAACTCTTTAAAGTAGAGACACTACATACTGATATACACCTGAACATCAGCAGGAGAGGACTCTTTAAAGTAGAGACACTACATACTGATATTACACCTGAACATCAGCAGGAGAGGACTCTTTAAAGTAGAGACACTACATACTGATATACACCTGAACATCAGCAGGAGAGGACTCTTTAAAGTAGAGACACTACATACAGATATACACCTGAACATCAGCAGGAGAGGACTCTTTAAAGTAGAGGACACTACATACTGATATACACCTGAACATCAGCAGGAGAGGACTCTTTAAAGTAGAGACACTACATACTGATATACACCTGAACATCAGCAGGAGAGGACTCTTTAAAGTAGAGACACTACATACTGATATACACCTGAACATCAACAGGAGAGGACTCTTAAAGTAGAGGCACTACATACTGATATACACCTGAACATCAGCAGGAGAGGACTCTTTAAAGTAGAGACACTACATACTGATATACACCTGAACATCAGCAGGAGAGGACTCTTTAAAGTAGAGACACTACATACTGATATACACCTGAAACTGAGCATAATATGTCTTCTTTAATAACATTTTGCATCAATGTGTCCAATTTCTTTCCACACTGATTTGGATTGGAGTCCGACTGAAGACAGATTGACTCATTTGACTGTTTGTGCACAACCTGCTTCAAGTGTATCTCAGTGAAATGAGATGCAAATGGTTATGTTTGTACTGTTTCTGTAGAATAAAAACAAAAACATTGTGCGATATTTGGAGTTGGCACACGAGAAGATTATTTCTTTAATCTTCTCCTACACTGCAAACTAGGCCTTTGTGCCCACTGATGCATCAAAAACAAATCTTTATTTTGAATGTAATCTTCCTGTGTGTGCCGCTACATGAAATCTGTGCATGTGCTAGGCCCCTCATCAGCAGATAGAGGCATTTGGGAGTGCAGCTTATATCTCCTCACAACACACTCAGACTGCAGTAGTAGGTGAAGAGGAGGTGTAACGCACATGAACACATTTAGAATACTAACACATTTCACTTACTGCTCCTCCTTAGTAATTATATGATGCTCTGCAGGCAGCATTCAGTAAACAATGTAAATCTAATCACATACATAAGGGGCATCTCATTAAGGGGGAATGGGTCCCCGTGGAAACCATTAAGTGACTTCCAACATGCAGGAATGCAGATCACATGACTGCATGTGTTCACCGTCGCTCGCCTGAACAGCATATCTCAGCATGTGAAACACCAGGAGGAATAATCCCACTTTAACAATGTTTACTAACATTTAATCTCTGGGGGAAATAAAATCGATTCTGGAAAAGTTACATTAGATTATGTAATCAGGGCGCAACACAAAATGACTGTAACCCTTTACAGTTACAAGTGTGCATCTAATCTTCTACTGCCTGAATCTGCTTCAAGGTTTCCACTTTCTTTGCTTCATTTGTTCTGTGTTTAATTCAGCAGGTGAACCTACATGTTCATAACATAGTGTGTGTGAGCTTAACTGTGTGTGTTGAACTGAAACGGAGCATCTTCTGTCAGCTCAGATTTGATTTCTGCTGTTTTAAACTGTAGTATATGCTCATGTGTTTCAGTGTAGGTGTATCGGCTACTGCCTGAATTTGATTCATGAAAGGCAATATTCATATTCAATATCTTGGTTTCTTCTTTTCTAAGGTCACAATGTTCTTTTTGTTTGTTCAGTGTAGAATCCCCAGTAGCTTTGCTCTTGACAAAAGCTACTCTTCCTGGGGTTAGACACTTAAAACAATACAACAACATTCAAGGCACAAGTCCTGACATCATTAACAACATTAACAACATCAATCGTCTTACATCAAATCAAATCAAGTTTTATTTATATAGCACATTTATAAACGATTTTTGGTCGAGCCAAAGTGCTGTACATATAATAGCCTACAGTAGAGACACTTAACAATAATTAATAATACACTTACATAATACAATTAAGTATACAACGTACTATTGTTTGGTTTTTATTTGCATTGCATTTGATATTGAGGTAACCCAAAAGTAACAGGAAGTAATCAGGTTTAGTTTATAGTGTCGTCCCCATCGATGAACTGTCACAAAAACAGTAAATGGTGCAGCTTTAGCCGACATGGCTAATTTCAAGCTGTTGTCCCCGGCCAGATGGTAATAGACACCCTTAAAATCACAATACATCGACAGCATTAGTTATAAGAAAATATATAAAATAAAATAAAAAGGAGTAGTAGATACCGGTGTGAGGATAAAAGAGAACAATAAACACACGTTACTATATACAGTACATGTCACATAACAGAAACGAGGGGCAACATCCATGATCACAACATGTAACACTCACACCATACTCAACACAGACTAGTGTGTGCAGGTGTAGTTCTCAGTGAACCATGTTTTCAAGTGAGCTGTGAAGGTGGTATGTCTTTGATTTGAGTGGGTAGAGAGTTCCAGTTTTGTATTGCTGTGACGGAGAATGATGACTGACCAAAAGTACTCTTCCTGAATGGGACTGATAGGTCGCCACGTGTGGAGCTTCTAGTGGTCAGTCTGGTGTTGTTACGTTGAGTAACCAATGAGCTAAGAGGTGGAGGGGCTGTATTGTGCAGGATTTTGTAAACCAGAACGATGTTCCTATACTTTATTAAATCTTCCCAACTCAGGATGTTATGCTTGTTGAGGATGGTAGTGGCTAGGTTTCTGGTCCAGTACTTTGAGGGCTTGTTTGTACAGGGTTGCTAGTGGCTTCAGTGTGGAGCTGTTAGTTTGCCCCCAGCTTGTGAGACAGTATGTAAGATGTGAGATGATCATGGCATTCACGTATAATTTGGCAGAATTCAATGTCATTGTGTTTCTTATGTATTTAAAATGTTCTAGGCTAAACTTGACTCTTTGGGTCACTTTTTTGACTTGTGGTTTGAATGTTGAATTAGAGTTAATAATTACTCCAAGGTACTTACCCTGAGGCACCATGTTAATATGTTCACCTGAGATGCTTATATTTGACACTGTTGTATTTTCTTTTTGTGAAAAACATTCCAACTGTTTTGTTGATAAGGTAACATTACTTGTATATTTTGATACTAAGATTAGGTTAGTCTTTACAGGTAACTATTCATTGTAATACAATTGTTTTTGTGTCTCCTAACCTTGACTGTCCTTCACTTCCATGTTGTTTGTTAACTGCAAATGTATAGAATACCATACACCTGCCACACATGTTTCAGATGAAGTCAAGGCTAATAATCTTCAGCATGAAAGACGGTCATGTGGGAAATATAGACGGCAGCTAGTGAGTGACCTGCAGCACGTGAATCTGAAGAAGATGTTTGAACATGTGACTGACCAAAAAATTATTTCCTTCTCTTCACAGTGGGATGCCATTAATGAGATGGACGAGTACTTCACTCCCATCCACACATACCAGGTGTGTAACCCTCTCACTGCTTTTTGCAGTTAATTATATCAAGAACTCCAGTGGAATATATCACTTTTTTTCAAGGTGAATCAGGTTTCTGTTTCTATGACAAACTGAAAACTTAAGTACCAATTATTCTACTATATTCGTTTGATTATATGATAATTTTTTTAACAGAAATATATATTGTAAAACCGTTTCTCTAGGTGTTAAAACTCACTTAATTACTGTTTGAGGTTGTATTTCATTATTTACACTCTTCAGACCATTAACACAAACTCCAAGGACATTTTTAGCAGACACAAAAAATAAAGTATTTTGCAATTCAATAAACATAACATTAGTGTTACGGTGTGTGTAGGAAGCAGGACCCAAATGCAGATTAAAGTGACAAAAACCTCCTTTATTTCAAGGCTATACTATTAAATAAAGACTAAACAGAACACTCACCGAGGAACAAGCCATATCACAAGACGAACTGACAAAGACAGACAGAAAAACCAGAACTTAAACACACACAAGACTAATCATACAAACAAGACACAGGTGAGGAGGGAGGAGAAAACACAGGGACACCAGGTGAACACAATCGGGTAATCAGACACACCAGGGAAACTAACGACAGGGAACCAAAGACAGATCTAGACAAGACAAAACACAACACAGACAGAAAACCAAAAACAGATCTAGACAAGACAAAACACAACACAGACAGATCGTGACAATTAGCAACAATTCTAATTCAAATATCCCAAACATTTATTGAAACAAAACGACTAACTATTCAGTTGTTCCGTCTTTTCTTAGTAAGTTGACATTTGTATTGCCATCATTCCAGTTACTTGGACAATTGTTGTAATACTTATTGTTTGGCTTGCAGATTCATTTTCATCTTGCAGCCATAATCTATAACTTTTATTTCCCAACGTACAGAGGTCATGACCCAGTGTCATCGTTGGTAGCTTCAAACCTGACAGCAGCCAACATTGTTAATGTAAAGCCACCAAAACAAAATGGCAGCGCATATTATTAATGTATGTTTCTAAAATGTTAAACCAATGCTAGAGTTGCATGTGGATTGTTCTACTCTTACCAGTCGTTCAAATGACAAATCACATCTTCAGGACAAAACATAATCCACAGATATCTACTGTCATGACGTTTATTCATATTGATGATGTATGCTCAGAATCAGAATACCTTTATTCGTCCCACAGAGAGGACATTTTGTTACAGTAGAAAAAGAGCCAAAGACAGCTTAATGTTACCTAAGAAGCATGCATAACAAAAATGTAAAAGATATTGTACACATTGCACATATTGCGCATGGTTGGTATATAGGTACAAGGGGTGTTATAGCTAGAGTTCCTGATTATAACACTGTCTCTGCTTCAGGTCTGTAACGTGATGAGCCCCAGTCAGAACAACTGGGTGAGGACGGGCTGGCTCCCCAGAGAAGGAGCCCGGAGGATCTACATCGAGGTCAAGTTCACCCTGAGAGACTGCAACAGCATGCCGGGGGTCCTGGGCACCTGCAAGGTAACACTCAGAGAGAGGGGGGGGGGGTGGATTTGGCGGGGGGGGGACAAAGCTAGAAAGAGGAGGGAAGGAGATGAGGAGAGAACTGTGAGCGAGGAAAGGAGATCAAGCTGGAAAATCCCACTTAAGATTTATTTATTTATTATTTTTATTAGTCAATTTATTTAACGTGTTAGAAACAAAACAAACAATAATAATAATTAGTAGCCAGATAAAATAAAAAAATAAACGCTCTGGGTATAAAAACATATATAAAAATAAATTCTCAAATAGTTTCTGTCATGTTCAAAAGGGGCAAGAAGAAGCTTAACAACGTTTCTGGTCCTCCCCCATCTAACGTACATTCTTCATGAAAATCAAAGTGTAGGTCATCGTCATCGGCATCCGTGATATTTGATTCAAAGTTTTAAATAAATAATTTTTTGTAAAACATTTTTAAAAATAAAAGAAATTACTTTTACAACAAAAATGTCACACGTCCTGCTCATAACCAATCAGGATTTGGTTTCTAATGAATAGTTTTAGTTTAGATAAAGCTGCACAGTATTTCAGCTCATCGTTATTCCACAGATTATTTAAGATCTGGGAAAATATCTTATCTAAGAGATGACGTGCAGCGTCATTGATGAAAAAAGTACACCAACATGGTGATCAGGATCTTGCAACGAGTTCACTCACAATATTGATTTTTAATGATTTTTTTTTTTTTTATATTTGTATTGCTTCGGCTAAGAAAAATGTAATTTACCGGACTTCTTATTGATAGGACTGTACTTACAGTGTTGTCCCTTGATCCTCCTTAACAACAGCCATGTTCTCCTTAGCAGCGGTGTGTTAGCGAAAATTAACAACCTCTGAAATATCCAAACTGACCAATCAGAATCGAGTATTCAGCAAAGCCTTGAAACAATACCAAATAAAATGTGTTTTACCCCCCAATTGAGGTAGTTTCAGTCCATATTTAAAGAGTAAACTAGGTTAAAATGTATTGCTAATTTTGTTACATTTACACGTGATCTTTCTACCTTTTTTTGTTCTACCAGGAAACCTTCAACCTGTACTACTACGAGTCCGACAGGGCGGTGGGCTCAGCGGTGCGGGAGAACCAGTTTATTAAGATCGACACCATCGCTGCTGACGAGAGTTTTACAGGCGTGGACCTGGGGGTCCGCAGACTCAAACTCAACACTGAGGTATGAGCAACAACACCAAACAACAGCATGGTCCAAACCACAGGTAGATGTCAGTCCAGGCTCTTTGAAGCAATATCTTACTCACAGATGGCAAAAGTACACACATCCTTCACTCAAGTAGCAGTACAGATACTCATGTTTAAAAATACTCTGGTAAAAAGTACTGACTAAACTTCTGTACTCAAGTAAAAGTAAAGAGGCTTTGAAATGTACTTCAGTAAAAAGTACCCATAACTAGCAGCTGCTTTAAAGAGTACCTGACCTCCCTTTATATTAATAGAACAATAATGTCATTGTTAGCTAATGAATGTTTCCATGCTGAACAACGGCAACATGACAACGTTTCCATTGGTCCCTCTTCTTTAGAGAAGACCAGGAAATGATGGATACACGGATCGTGTTCAAATCAATAGGCACGCAATGACTCTAAAGAATAATGATCACGCATCAAACACACATTCAGACTAAAGGAACCAGCTGTTTGGAAAATGAGAGAAGTAGAAAGTACAAGTATTTGGGTTCAACATGTAAGAAGTAGAAAGTACAGGTATTTGAGGTCAACATGTAAGAAGTAGAAAGTACAGGTATTTGTGTTCAACATGTAAGAAGTAGAAAGTTCAGGTATTTGTGTTCAACATGTAAGAAGTAGAAAGTACAGGTATTTGGGTTCAACATGTAAGAAGTAGAAAGTACAGGTATTTGAGTTCAACATGTAAGAAGTAGAAAGTACAGGTATTTGTGTTCAACGTGTAAGAAGTAGAAAGTACAGGTATTTGAGTTCAACATGTAAGAAGTAGAAAGTACAGGTATTTGTGTTCAACATGTGAGAAGTAGAAAGTACAAGTATTTGGGTTCAACATGTAAGAAGTAGAAAGTACAGGTATTTGAGTTCAACATGTAAGAAGTAGAAAGTACAGGTATTTGTGTTCAACATGTAAGAAGTAGAAAGTACAGGTATTTGGGTTCAACATGTAAGAAGTAGAAAGTACAGGTATTTGAGTTCAACATGTAAGAAGTAGAAAGTACAGGTATTTGTGTTCAACGTGTAAGAAGTAGAAAGTACAGGTATTTGAGTTCAACATGTAAGAAGTAGAAAGTACAGGTATTTGTGTTCAACATGTGAGAAGTAGAAAGTACAAGTATTTGGGTTCAACATGTAAGAAGTAGAAAGTACAGGTATTTGAGTTCAACATGTAAGAAGTAGAAAGTACAGGTATTTGTGTTCAACATGTAAGAAGTAGAAAGTACAGGTATTTGAGTTCAACATGAGAGAAGTAGAAAGTACAGGTATTTGTGTTCAACATGAGAGAAGTAGAAAGTACAGGTATTTGTGTTCAACATGAGAGAAGTAGAAAGTACAGGTATTTGTGTTCAACATGTAAGAAGTAGAAAGTACAGGTATTTAGGTTCAACATGTAAGAAGTAGAAAGTACAGGTATTTGTGTTCAACATGTAAGAAGTAGAAAGTACAGGTATTTGTGTTCAACATGAGAGAAGTAGAAAGTACAGGTATTTGTGTTCAACATGAGAGAAGTAGAAAGTACAGGTATTTGTGTTCAACATGTAAGAAGTAGAAAGTACAGGTATTTAGGTTCAACATGTAAGAAGTAGAAAGTACAGGTATTTGAGTTCAACATGTAAGAAGTAGAAAGTACAGGTATTTGTGTTCAACATGTAAGAAGTAGAAAGTACAGGTATTTGTGTTCAACATGAGAGAAGTAGAAAGTACAAGTATTTGTAAAGAAGTAAAAGTAAAAAGTTGTCAGAGGGATAGTGGAGTAAAGTACTGATACCAGAAAAATGTACTTAAGTACAGTAACAAAGTATTTGTACTCCACTACTTCCCACCTCTGGTCTTACTTTGGATTTTGAGTGCACTCTGATTCTCAGCACGTAAACCTCTGCAGAAGTTCAAGACGAGTTGGAAAGATCCACAGAGAGAACCTCTTCCTGTCTGTCACTCGCTGCAGATCTGTTAAAGGAAACCAACAGCAGTTCAGCATCATGGGAAATACTTTGATATCGATAGCAGCTTCAAATTTGGTGCTGGGTAGTGGAGCTTGTCTTTTATTGATACCTTACATTGTTAGAAAGATGAAGATATAAAGGGAATGGTATAATTCATTGTACACTGTCCTTACATCTGGTGCCCATTGACCCTGAGTTTAGTATAGGAAGCACAACTTCAATAAGGTTGTGGTTTTGGGGGATAGCCATTGTCTCTCTCATCTTTTTAAATGTATCGCAGGAATCTGTTATTTCAATCCATTTCGATCCAAATTCATTATCTATTGTTAAGTCTAAAGAAACGATTCTCAATGTCTCCTTTTTTCATTTTCAGAGTCTATTCAAGTCTTATCCTTACCATGTTCTTTAGGACACTTCTTTTATAAAGGATTATTATCACTTTACCTAATATGAAAAAAGTACCGGGCACTAACTCTGGGGCATGCTAACACTTAACACTAAATCAAAGCCCTACTAGTTATTAAGCTAAACCTGTTAACAATCGCTTCTCAAAAGCAGCCATGTGCAGCTTATCTTGCTCGTAGTTCAACTTTGGGGACTTTGACTTGCTAATTTGTGCTGTTGACCAATAGCAATCAATTTAACAACTCCAAAATAAAGAAATCTATTAGCGGCATTTCAACATTGACTTTTCGTTACCTCATCCGTCAGGGTATAGATTTAGAGTTTAAGAAAGGTGTACATGGCAGAGATATGTCTTTTGAATAAACAAAGCTAAGCGCTAAGAGCTAACAAATTGGCGAATTGATTGTTAGAGAATGTATGTGCAAACTTCCCTGCTTTGGGACGCCCCCAGACAGATAGTTACCGGACGCGCAGCACGTGACTAATGACGTTACAGTGAGGGGTGCGTCCGGTAACTATCTCGGGACTGTCTGGGGGGCGTCCCAAAGCAGGGAAGTTTGCACAATGTGTAAGCTTAGAGAGCTTTAATTTTCCTCTACAATTGAACAAAATGGGGAAGTAGCCTACCGAACAATGGACATATTAAAAACACATCTGCCTAAGAACCATTTAATAATGCATTAGTTAGTTATAGGCAGTTTCTATAAAGTAAATTAGACACAACAACACTCGTTCTCACTCTCATTTGCAACCATTTCAGTTGTGAATAAGTCTGCAAACTGTCCCTATAGAAGCGTATAGACTTATTATATTCATATGCTGCCGATATAAACTTTTGAATAATGTTTTGCATCCGTGCTTGGGTGTTAACAAGATAATCAACTGTGATAGAGATAAAAAAAACAAGCATATCAAAATGTAAAAACGTCCATGTTTCCCGGTTGTTGTTGTTGTTGTTGTTGTTGTTGTTGTTGGAGGTTGATTAATGGCTGCTGCCAAAGCACAACACCAAACACCAGTCCAGAGATTAAATTACAGCTGCGTTAACACTCCTGTTTTGTTCACAAACCACTGCAGAGGTTTTAATATGAAAGAGTGAGAAACGTTCCAAACGAAACTTCTCCAATGCGTCGGCCAATCAGAGTTGAGTAAATCTAATGAAACCAAACCCACACAGTCCTGATGCAGCAGATTAACTTTATGTATTCCTCTAAAACAATACATTTTTATTGTTTTATGGAAATCCATACATTTTAACTTAAACATCTCAGTCTTACACATCTTATTTTCAGGTGTTCCGAAGTATTACTGCATATATAAAGTATTTTTGCCTTTATTTATCATCTTAATTAGGCAACACGTTCATTTTCTGAAAGACTTAGTTTTTATTTGATTAAATGAAAACCCACCGTCTTGGTCCCTGCCTGTTTCTCTCAGCCTGTTATTCATTGTTTCGGGAGACGTAGTGAGGGAAGAGGAGCGGCGCTGTGTAGAGGAGACGGTTATCGCTGAAGATGACACTCAATTCAAACATTTAGTTAAATATGGCGATCAAAGTGAAATCTTCTGAAAACCAAGATTTGTTTGCTTTAAATTAACCAAAAGCCCCAAATGACGAAATTACAAGTTTTTCATATAAATCAATGTTTATATCGTATGATCTGTGCGACATCTGACAGATTTGTATATAGCATTTCACATATCACAATATCACACATATCACTCCCACAACCCATCAGAGACTGCACTGACCTCACCACCTTCAACACACTCACCTCTTCAATCTGGCTTTTAATGTGTGATTGTTTTTGTATTATTTGACTTTAACTTTAACTATATATTTATTTGTTGTTCCTTTCTTTTCTTTTCTCTTCACTATATCTGTAAAGCGTCTTTGAGCACCTGTAAAAGCGCTAACAAATTAAATCTATTATTATTATTATATAAACAGTGTGTGTGATGAAAGTGTCAAATTGACACCTATTGAGATCAGTCCATCTTTAAGGGGTAAATTAGGTTAAAATGTAAGAGTGAAATTATCTGAAAGCCAAGATTTGTTTGTTTTAAATTCACCAAAACCCCAAAACAGTTTTTCATATAAATTAATTGTTATATATCGTAACGATGATGATTGGGCGGTGGTGGCGAAGTCGATAGGGACTTGGCTTGGCAACTGGAAGGTCACCAGTTCAAGTCCCGGCAAGACCATGTGCTACAGAGGTGTCCCTGAGCAAGGCACCGTTCCCTACACTGCTCCCCGGGCGCCGTTCAAAATGGCAGCACACTGCTCCTAACACTAGGATGGGTCAAACAATTTCCCCACGGGGGATTAATTAATAAAGTATATCAAAATCCCCAAAAAAAATCTGTTGCGACATCTAACTGATTTTGATAAGGCGGGTCACATGTAGACACTCTCATGATGACCTGAAGTGTGTGTGATGAAAGCGTCTAGATATTGCCTGAATATCAAAGTCAGATTTTTCTGAAAGCCAAGATTTGTTTGTTTTAAATTAACCAAAAAAAAATGACGAAAACACAAGTTTCAGTTCTGATAAGGTGGGTCACATGTAGACACTCTCATGATGACCTAAAGTGTGTGTGATGAAAGTGTCAAACTGACACCTATTGAAATAAAGTGATAATGTAACTATTAAAACAAGATATCACGGTAAAAAGTTGCATTTGTATGAACATGTTATATATATTTATTCACCTAAAGTGTGAGTGATGAAAGTGTCAAACTGTCCTCCCCCCTCTCCAGGTGCGAGGCGTTGGCCCTTTGTCCAAACGAGGTTTCTACTTGGCCTTCCAGGACATCGGCGCCTGCATCGCTCTCACCTCGGTGCGAGTTTACTACAAACGCTGCGCCGGAGTGAGCCGAAACCTGGCGGTGTTCACGGACGTAGTGACGGGGGCCGACTCCTCCTCTCTGGTGGAGGTCAGAGGTCAGTGTGTGGATCACGCCGAGGAGAGGGACACTCCCAAGATGTACTGCAGCGCCGAGGGAGAGTGGCTGGTTCCCATCGGGAGGTGTGTGTGCTCCGCTGGGTTCGAGGAGCACCGAGACTCCTGCGTGGGTGAGTGGACTCACAGTGTTTCTTGTATTTAGTTAACTCCTCCTGCATTACTTGCACATTTCTTCTTGCACTATTTTAATACTTTTTTTCATTTGTTATGTTGTTATATTGTTTTATGTCATATATATTATGGACTCACAGTGTTTCTTGGTTTGCTCGATGAACACTTTTACTGTCACTGGGTGGACAACTAGGGTTAGGGTTAGGAACCAAAAACAAACAGGGACAAATCAGTACATGGGACTTTAAGGTTCAAGGTGCTTTATTGTCAAACTAACATAGCTACAGAGTAATTATGTCGTTGAAAATCTGGTCACAGGCTTCTCCAACAATGCAACACAATAATACAGATAAGCAGACAATATTAAAACAATATTAAAATATACTATATTTAAAGTAATACAACAAGAAAAATAGTTTTTAAAAAGTGAGAAAAAAAAGTGGAAAAGTGCAATACGAGTTAATACAAGTTATCAAATCAAATCAAGTTTTATTTATATAGCACATTTATAAACGATTTTTGGTCGAGCCAAAGTGCTGTACATAAAATAAAAATAGCCTACAGTAGAGACACTTTACAGCAAATACAACAGCACAGATTGTTCAGAATATCAGTATGAGAAAAACGTCCTTAGACCCTCTGTCCTTAGACCCTCTGCCCTTAGACCCTCACATCGTACAAGGAAACACTTCCAGAGAAAACCCACAGTTTAAGGGAACATGGGAGAAACCTCAGGGAGAGCAACAGAGGAGGGATCCCTCTCCCAGGACGGACAGACGTGCAATAGATGCCGTGTGTAAATCCAAGAGATAATAGATTTTACAGCATATTGGAATGATATATTAGATAATAGATAAATAATTACTAAGTAGCAGATGAATGTTAAGTTAGCTTAAATTCAAAAGCTCAAATACAAACGACTCCTGCGTTGGTGAGTGGACTCAGAGTGTTTCATTCTCAATTAACATTATTAGTGCGAATGCTGTTTACAACATTCCACTATAGTGCTTCAAAACTTTATTAGTGCGAATGCTGTTTACAGCATTCCACTATAGTACTTCAAAACTTTATTCTTCCCCTTAATAAACAAATTATTTCAGCCAATACTTTGGCTCTCCATAACTTCAGCTTATTTTCAGCTACAGAAACCATTCAAATATTAAACTATTCAGCCTGTTCAGGAATCGATGGGAAACCTCCAACTTTTTCAAAATATTTCATACTTTTTGAAATATTCAGCTTTTTAAACTCTTTTTTTTACATTGAAGTCAATGGGAAGAGCCTTCAAATCAGCCAATACTTTAGCTCTCCATAACTTCAGATTACTTTCAGCTACAGAAACCATTCAAATATTAAACTATTCAGCCTTTTCAGCAATTGATGGGAAACCTTCAACTTTTTAAAAATATTTCATACTTTTTGAAATATTCAGCTTTTTAAACTCTTTTTTTAACATTGAAGTCAATGGGAGATGCCTTCAAATCCTGTTTTCCTACACTTTGCGCCAAATGCTTCTCCTTCCACATAATTTCAGCCAGACACTTCATTCCAACTTTCAAATGATCACAATACCTTCAGCTATAAAACTTGTATAAAAGATTTTTGATATCTTTTCAACTGTTTGAGATATTGAATTTAGTTTGGAGCTTGGTAGAGAGGCCTTTTTCAGATTGTAACAATACAGTGGATGGAGCAGCTCGTTAACTCTAGAGTGCTTTGATCTCAAAACAGAGTGCAGCAGTGCTTGAAATTCTCCCCCAAAAATGTTTTAAACTTGCCATACATCCCAAACCCTACACTCCTCAGACATATGTTTTCATGAAAAACGTAGGAAAACCTCTCTTAGGTTGGAAAATAAAAAAAGATTGAGAAAAAATATTAAACAAAATGCCTCTTGAGGGCATGAAGAGAGAAAAAGTCCAGCTAGCTCCCAATTGATCCCCATGTTAAATTGTTCCAGATCTTTCTTCAGAGCAGAGAGAAGTACACTTTAGACAAACTGCTCCCATCTCCACATTTTACACACAAAACGCAAAAAAAAAACCTATTTCAGTTCATTGGGGCTTCCCTGATGCTCACGGTCTGATGATTTTTTAATAAGAGCCATAGTTTTTGAACAGGTGGCAAAATTGTCAGATATAATCCCCAATGCATTCTGCATGCTGCAGATGCTTGTCATGGTGTTGCCGGGCAGATTGGAGCCACACACACACACACACACACACACACACACACACACACACACACACACACACACAGACACACACACACAGCACCCACACACACACACACACAACAAACACACACACACACAACCACAGACACACACACACCACCACACACACCCACACCACACACACACACACACACACTCAAACACAGAGACACACACACACACACACACCACACACACACACACACACACACACACCACACACACACCACACACATACTCAAACACAGAGACACACACAGAGACACACACACACAAACACAGAGCCACACACACACACACTCTCTCTCACACACAGGCACCACACACTCTCTCACACACACACCACACACACACACACCACACACACACACACACACACACACACACACCACACACACACACACACTATCTCTCTCTACCACACAGACACACACACTGAACAGCTCTCTACCACACACACACACACACACACACACACACACACACACACACACACACACACACACACACGCACACACAAACAGGCCACAGGCCTTTGTCCACCTAACCATTGTTTTTATGGGTGAACCTCCCATTGATTGATGTCTGACATCTCATTTAGTTTTTCTACACCTCACACTCTCCAAAGCCACACCCCTTCAAAAGAAAAGCCCTATAGATGTAATGCTACTTGAACTTATACTACTACGTACATCTGATATGTAACTCCTTCAGGCAACTTTCAGCACAAACTATTAACTATTCAACTAGTAACTTATTCAGCTATTTCAGGACAATGACGCTATACATGTTGTTGTTTATACCTTTTTTAAACCTTTTCTTTTAAATATTAAGCTTCTTCACTATTTACTGCGAATGCTGTGCATTGAAATATCAAAGATATTCAGCTTGTTCAGCACATGTGTTATGATTGGGTGTTATGAGTAGGTGCTCAGGAATAGAAACAAACACTGACAGACTGGACTTTAACAGACTGTCTCAGCCTATTCTTTTCTGTCTGATGGAGACTTCATACAGACTTCAACATGTTCCACATATTTTATACATTATTGGTGACGTATGGTTTTAGTCGAAAAGTTTGCAGTCAAAATATTCTTCTGCTTTCCCTTTTTACTTTATTTTCTCATCTTAATACAAATTCATTCACTACTACTTACATCTGATATTTAACTCCTTCAGCCTATTTTCAGCTGCAGAACCCATTCAACTATTACATTATTCAGCTATTTCAGGACATCAAGGCTATACATGTTGTTGTTTATACCTTTTTTAAACCTTTTTTTTGAAATATTCAGCTTTTTCTGCATTTGTTTAGCTAAAAGCAGCTACCATTCAGCTAATAACACATTCAGCTTTTTCTGCATTTGTTTAGCTAAAAGCAGCTACCATTCAGCTAATAACACATTCAGCTTTTTCTGCATTTTTTTAGCTAAAAGCAGCTACCATTCAGCTAATAACACATTCAGCTTTTTCTGCATTTTCAGCTAAATTCAGCCATAAATGTTCACAGTTTACAGCATTCGCACGCATTTTCTGCAGGAAATGCATTTTCTAGTTCTTCTTTGTTTCTTCTTGCACTATTATTATTATTGTTTTTTACATTTGTAATGTTTGTTACATGTCATATATGTTTATTTTGTACCGTTGGAGGGAGCCTGGGAATTAAGGTTTTCATTGACACAATTACGCTGTAGCTGTGCATATGACAATAAAGCCTATGCACTTGGAACAAGGGTTGGAGTTAGGAAACAAAACCAATCAAGAAAATATCACAGGATTTGTTGATACTGTACATGGGACTTTAAATTCAAAAGCTCAAATTCAAAAGTAAATAAATGTTCTTATTACATGGGCTGAGTTAGAACACTGTCAACAAAGGGATATCTTACATTTTATAATTCCACTTTATTAGATAAGATTATTAAAAAACAACCTATTCTTCATCAGTACTAGAACTGAGACATTACAATGCAATTCAAAATGTTGCCTTTACCGAACATAGCGGTAATGGTGATTTAGATATTGCAGTAGTTCATATTGCAATTTTGTTAGAAATGACAATCCATTATGCAGCCATACAGTAGTATAGAGATGTTATGATTAGGATATACGGTTCAAACATAAAGCACAGTGAATTTCATATATAACCAGGAGATATCTCATGATTATCTAATTGAACCCTAACCCAAATATGGCACTTTTCTACGTAAGATCGTTTCTTTAGCTGGTAATTTTAGTCCTCAAACATTTATTTTATGGTTAAGCTTCCACTTAAATATTTTCATATGTACCTAAGATAATTTAATAATGACATTTGATTTAGATTTTAACCTAAGCTTAAAAGAAAAGGGGAAAACAGAGACTAGAAAAAAGCTGTTACTATAAAATATAATATAAGTCCTTTCAATTCCATTCATATCTGATCATAGGGCTGGGCATTTGGAGAAATGTATTTGTGTTGATTACACCAATAACTACGACTTGAGTGTTTTCTAAGAGTGATAAAAGAGAGAATTTGACTATAGAAACAGCGTGATCACTTACAGGTCACAAAATAAAAGCTAGGAATAAATCGATATTTTCTTTCATTTCGACGATAGTACTAATCTGTAAAAGATGCTGGAAGAAAATGTCCCTTCTGGCTTAATTTTTAATTGTTATAGCTACTCTGTCACGCTCTTTTCCACTTCAAAAAAGTCATCATGTAAGAATCAGAGTTTCCCATTTATTGAATGAGCGTTTCCTCTGGGCTCAGAACATCAGCAGAAATGTAACCAGTGTAAA